GGGTACAGGGGCTATGATTCTCTGCTGCAGGCAGCCCTCACCTACAGCCACAGCCTTGCCAAGTTCTGGCCACTTCCCCGTTCCTTTGTCCCACAAGTCTGGGGCAGTGGAGGAGTCATGTCCTGTCTCAATCCACCAGCCCAGGGTGCTTTGCCCGCCATGGCCATGGTGACTTTTCACTGGCTCTCCCCCTTTGCAAATGGTGAAGTTATCAGCAATTACCCCCTTTCCAGCAGGTATGTTGTAGGATCAAAGAGAGAATTTGTTATCAGTCCCAACAGACCTTGAAATCCCAGGGATGTCTCAAATGCCACAGTGTCTCTGACCCTGGTCCGCTCTCGGTACTGCTAGTCATTTATTTTTCTAAATCATTCTTGAATCTCTTCTCTTCTTTTTTTGTTTTAATTTGCTGCAGGGACATGAACTTGCTGGAGAAAGAGAGAGGGAAAGTGAGCAATCCCCAGAGGGGATTACCACGCTGCACAGTTGGCCACGTGGGATCCAGCCTCCTTAACCATTATGCCACTGGCTGGCCCTCTCCTCATCTTTTCGTGTTCTGTTGTTGTTGTTGTTGATTATTTTCTTTTAATCTGATCAAAGAGAGACATGAAAAGTGAGAAAGCAAGTCATCAGGTCTGGGCTTTTAACTGTGGTCGACCACGTGGGAATCCAGCTCCTCAGCCACCATGCCACCTGCTGGCCTCTTTTCATTTTTTTTTTAAGCTTATGTATTTATTCTATGAGCAAAAGAGACAGAAAAAGAGGAACCCCCATCAGGGTCTTCATGCCATGATTCACCTCTAGCTTTGACCAGCCCAGATCACAGGCCCGCGAGCCGATATCCTCTAGGAGGCCTCCAGGTGCAAACCGGGACCCTTCCTGTGCGGGTCAGCCTCTCAGAGCCTTGTTTTTAGCACAGCGCCACCATCCGGCCCCTCCCCTTTCTTCTCCACTGCTCCTGCCTGAGCAGAGCACCATCCACACCTGCAAGTGCCTGATCGTCTGCTTACACTTTGCCTGCAGCATCTTCTTGTCTCTAATCCATTCTTCACCTGCATGTCAAGTCATCTTTCTAAAAGCCGGCTCTGATCCTGTGTGACCCAGTTTACAAGTTTCCAGTGGTTTGCATCGTTGGCTGGACAGAGTTCTAAACTCCTTAGCATGATCTAATCAAAGCCACGAATGGTCTGGCCTCTCCCGCTTTTCCAGTGTCTTTCTCCAGTCTTCATCTTGCCCTCTGCTTCTTTTTCTTCTCCTTTTTTTTTTTTTAATTAGAGAAAATTTTGCTATAGAGCATGTGTGCTCGCCAGAGAGACAGAAAACCAGGAATCACCCCTTAAGGCGTATGGCTGCACCCCAATCCCTGCTCCTCCATTCTCCTCTCTGGATTTTGGGCATGCACGCAACACACCCGGCGAGAGTTTTAAGCTGCCGGGTCCAAGACTCGAACTGTGGTCAGCTATGTGGAAGTTCAATGACATAACTATTACGCCATCTGCCTTGCCCAAGCGGTTTTGCCTTTCTGAAATATTCTTCCATTTCTTCATCTGATTAACTCTTACTCGTATGTTAAAACGTAGCTTAGTATTTTGACATTCTTCTTTTTCTTTTTAATTTGATAGAAGTCATATGTTCTCCCCAGAGAGAGATGGGTGAGGGTGAGAAAGCTCCCATGGGGAATGGTCACACCACAACCACTTGTCTTCCACTTCTCCCTCCTTTTGGGATTTTGGGCACACATGCACACACACCTGGTGTGTTTTTCAAGCCACTGGGTCTGGGACTCGCACCATGCAGTCAGCCAGGTGTGTCCAGCTGCCTTAACCACCACCCCACCCACTGGCCCTGTTTGGGCATTTTTCTAATTAAAAGTATCAATCAGCTGTGTAATTTAAAATAATAATAATAGTAATAATAAAGGGTTAAGACACAAAGATCCTCCTCCTCAATCTCAGATAATAGCTAGTGCAGAAAGCCTTTGTAGAAACTCCCCTCATAGTGAAGGGTACCACACCACCAAAGCTCCGTGCTAGTGTCCCTGTCATAGCTGTCATCACGCCGTGTCTCTTTCACAGCCTTGAGCGCAGGAACAGTGGTTTTGTTTCTTTTTCCACCTCTGCAACATGACCATGTAGCGCAGCATGCTACTTCCTGCATTATCAAGTAAATACTGGAATGAACAAATGAGATAGAAGCTGCCGGTGGCTCTCAATGAGTAATAGGATGTGTATAAAACTGAAAGTGGAGGGCCAGCCAGCAGGTGGCACGGTAGTTAAAGCACTGGACTCCCACATGGCCGACCATGGTTTGAGTCCTGGACCCAATGGCTTGAAACTCATGCCAGGTACATGTGTGTACAAGATCACAGGAGGGAAATGGAGGAGAAGGGATTGCAGTGTGGCCATCTCCCACCCCACCCCCCATGGGTGATTTCTTACTTTCCCTCTCCCTGTCTCTCTCCAGCAAGCATACATGCAGTGTGACTAAAACCTAAAAAAAAAAAAAAAATGGAAGTGGGAGGGAGATAGCAGGAAGTCGGGCGACCAGGCCCTATACCTGCATCGATGTCATTTTGTAAATCGTGTCAGCTAAGGATTTTTTTTTTATGAGAGTTTTATTTATTTACTCTAATCATAATTCCTTGTGACTTCCTTTGCCTGACTGCCCTCTGCAATAATGAAATTATATTTGGAATCTTAATAGGTTGTCTGGATCCCATCAATAGGCTGGTCTAGACCAGCCTTGAGACTGGCAGCCTTAGGCATGCGAGCATTGTCAGCCCAGGTGGGAGGGATTCAGGGCTTCCTCTTCATCACAGATGCCACATTGTGTCAATGTTGGGGGCAGGCAGCAAGGGGCGGGGTCATAACAGACCAGCTCTCTCCTGTTCAGATTTCTGCAGCTAAGTTTAGGGTTTTTTAAGAGGGAGAGCTTCCAAGTGGGCCCAGATGGTAGGCTCAGTAGGTTAATTTAAAATCGTTTGTTATGCAGCTCATTGAAAATGTACCATTAACAGTGCCACACGGAATTGGGGCATTGGACCTGGGAATTTTTTCAGAGGGATCCAGTATGTCTCCTGAGTCAGCTTTGTCCTCTGGTGAGCCATTCTGGACTCTGCTTTTCCTGCATTCCGTACAGTGGGATTGTGCTTGCCACCAGGCATGGTGGTAGTGGACCTTCATGGTTTGCTTGCATGAGAGTTGCTTTTCTTTCACTTTCTTTGGCAAAAATGCCTCCCCCTTTAAAACAGGGTGATCCAGTTTGCAAAAAGACTTTTTAAAAAAAGATTGACTGAGAACCAGCAGTTAGCGTAATGGCTATGTTGCTGGACTCCCACGTAGTTGACCGTGGTTCGCCTCCCAGACCCGGTGGCTTAAAACTCATGCCGGGCGCATGTGCGTGCGTGCCCAAGAGGGCACTGAGAGGACAATGGAGGAGAAGGCATTGTGGCATGACCATCCCCTCTGGGGGGTGATTTCTCGCTTTCTGTCTCTATGTCTCTCTCTGTCTGTCTGGCGAGCGCACGTGCCCTATAGCGAAAACCTCTCCAAAAAAAAAAACAAAACAAAACAGATTGACTAGGTCCACTCATTGCCCTGAGTCTCTGCGTTCCTTTCAGAAAGCCTGCAACTCTTTATGCCATGACAAAGGTAGTGACTTTATCTAAGTAGTAACCTGGGCATGGGGGGATATATAGCTCATTATCTAATATTTATTAAATATCCAGTGTCCGAAGCACCACATGAAACATATTAAAGACTCAACCCCAATCTCACTGAACTATGCTTTTCATGTATTTATGTTCTGCCTTTAATTGGAGATTTCAAAGTGTTTTAGACAGTGGACTCAGTTCCTGTTGTATTAACTCTTTTGAAATGGAGACTGAAATCATGCCATCGGAGGACAAGACTCTGTTCTTAAGGTGTTTTTTTTTTTTTTTTTTTATGTTTAAGGGTTTTTTTTTTTTTTTTTTTTACAGACTTTGATGTGTCTGTGAATCCTCCATTAGGCAGGGCTTCCTGGTGTCCCTCGGGCTTTGAGTGAACTGGGCTCTCCTGGCCAGCTGGCTGCTAACGTGGGCTGCATCAGACGCCAGACCGCACCTGCAAGGGTGAGGGGCAGTTAGGATGACAGGTGCTCTATAAGTACAAAGCATTATTCATGTCCTCATTGGAATATTGGGCACAATAAACCTGGGCTGTACATAAGCCTCCAGGCTACATCGTTGAGGACGCTGTCGTTTTCTCCCTGGTGGTACCGCACTGGGTCAAATGAAGACGGAAATTCCTTGACTTGAGGACTTCCCTTGGATGGAGGTCTGTTGTGTCTTCTCTTGCTGGTGATGCGGGAAACCTGAATGTGGTGCATCTAATTGATTTTCAGCCTTTCAGTGGGATCTACCTGAATAACCGCGAGTCAGGGATGTACCACTGTGTGTGCTGTGACAACCCGCTCTTCAGGTAAGATAAAGAAGTAAGAGCTTCTGAAGGAGAATGAACCTCTATATTTTACTCACACAGCTCCAGCCCATCTAGATAGGTAAAAACCCATAATATTGGGACCAGTAGTGGCATGATGGTTAAGAAGCTAGACTCCCACAGTTCGAGTCCCCGGCCCATGGCTTGAAAATCATGCCAGGTGCATGTGGATACATGCCCAGAATTCTGAGAGGAGAAGAGAGTAGAAGGGATTGCAGCATGGCCATCGCCCCCTAGCGGGTGATTTCTCACTTTCCCTCTTTCTGGTGAGTGCATGCACCTTATGGCAAAAAACTAAAATTAATCATAATAATATCCATATTGGTTTTTCGTTGGTTTTGTTCGTTTTAAAGAGATTTTTGCTGTAGGGCACATTTACTTGCCAGAGAGACAGAGAGACAGAAAGTGAGAGATCACCCCCCCACACACACACACACACACAGGGGGAATGGCCACAGCACAATCCCTTTTACTTCATTCTCCTTTCTGGATCTTGGGCACACACACACACACACACACACACACACGCCCAGTGTGAGTGTTAAGTCGCCAGGTCTGAGGCGCTAACCACTGTCAACTACATGGGAGTCCAGCAATGTAAACAGTATGTCATCTGCTGGTCCCCCATGTTTTTAATTGCCCTTTCCTTTGGCATTGCTGCCATCTATTTAAGGTACTTGCCTGTCTTAATTGCTCTTTTGTATTTAAAGCAGTGAACTAGACTTGTTAGCTATAGTCTTTCCTGAAAAATAGAAAACAAATGAAACTTGCTGCGTACCTTCTAATAAAGCTATTCGGACTTTTTAGACAGAACATATTTAAAGCGATCTAAACCATAACGGTATTTGCTTGGCCATGTGATTAAACTGCCTCTCTCCCAGGGAAAATGGGTTTATAATTTCATTTAGGAAATGTAGAATTTTATGAGGACAGATTCCCCACAGTGCTTGACGGTAGTGAATACCATGCCCTGTTCTATGTAGCTGAAAGTAAATTTAATTGTCCCTTATTTCAAAGCCTCTTTTAAGTCAATCAGGATCTGAAATCTCTCAACAAAGGCTTTTTTGTTTAGCTATGCAGGAAACAGTCGAATAAAAGTAGATTCGATGAAGAAAAAAGGAAAACATCTTTGAAGTTCTGAACAACAGAACTTCAAAGATGTTTTCCTTTCTTTTGCGCTAACCCTAAATTGGTTTAGAATAAAATATAAATCGAGCCAGCTCTGTGAATCCTCCATTAGGCAGTGTTTCCTGGTGTCCCTCGGGTTTTGAGTGAACTGGTCTCTCCTGGTCTGCTGGCTGCTAACGTGGGCTGCATCAGGGACACCAGACCCCACCTGCAAGGGTAAGGGGGCAGTTAGGATCCATTTCCCCTCTTGCTTACAGAAGGGCAGGACTTTACCCAGATGTAGTCACCTCGTCAGTGGCTGGTGGGAGCTCTAAGAGGGCGCTCAGCCCAGGATGGCACAGGAGGTTCAGGGAGACTGCTTTTTACACCATGAAATGCAAGATTCATATTTGTGAGTCTTTAGTTATTTGTGACCTTTGGTGATGAGATGGCCAATGTGCCTCCCACCTAAGAACTGTGTCATAGAAGTGCAGACGATTGTCATGTTACTGTCTAGGCACCAGAGAGATCTCTGCCTGTCTTTGGACTGGGGAGACAGAAGAGGAGGAGAGCATTCGCCTCAATTTCAGCCTTCATTCTCTGCCCTCATGGGTACCAGTCTCAGCATCTGTAAGGGGGAGGCCCCTGACGACCCAATGCCTGCGGTCTTGTCCTCACCCAGGCTCAGTCAGAGGCACCGAGACTGTCCAGTCAGCCCGCTGAGACGAGGGACATGTCTGTCTCGGCGCTGGCCACGGTAGTAGCCGGCCATCACATGGGGCAACTGAGTGTGCATCTCGTGTGACCTCAAAGGCCAGGTTTTTATTTTATTTCATTTTAATTAATTTCAAGTTACAGCTGGTTGGTGGCTACTGTGTCAGCACCATGCTAGTCCAAATTAAGGACACTGGGCCAGCCTCACAGCCTAGTGCTTAAGGGAGCTGGATCCCCCATGGCCAGGCATGGTTCCGGTTTTAGTCTTGGCAGCTTGAGAGACGCACCTGCCGTGTGTTTCCGTAGACCAGTGGGCCGTGCTGGGTAACCACACCATCACTTTCTCAAGTACAGACAAAGGGCCCCGAGAAGACATGCCAGCCCCTGAGAGGTATGGCCAGCCAGCATCACCCACAGACCCCCTTTCCAGAGCCACGTCCCGGCCACGTCTACCAGATTGACCCTGGACTCGTGGGGATGAAGATGGTGCTCATTCTTAGACAGCTGCTGCTTCTCCAGATCAGAGATGCTCGATCAAATGTACACAGGTCAAGAATACTTTCCTGAGTGTTGTCACTCCCCTGGGGACATGCTGCAGTCCCTTCTCCTCCATCTCCTCTCGGGACTTTGGGCAGGGATGCACACGTACCCAGTATGTGTTTCTAGCCACTGGGTCCAGGCCCCAGACTGCACAGTTGGCCATGTGGGATCCAGCTGCCTTAACCATCACACCACCTGGTGGGTGCCAATGCATCCATAGTTTTTAAAGTCTTAGTTTTCATTTCTAATTTGTTAAATATTGGTATACATATCTAGTATAAACTAAAGTTCTCAGGGACCCTCCATAACTTTGGGGTCTGAAAGGTCCTGAGATCAAGCTGTTTGGGACTCTCTTTCTCCGCAGTCCTGTTCCTTGTGCTGGCCTTGTGCGCCCTGCCAGGCTTCCCTCTGTGTTCACAGGCCAGGGATTTGGCTCTTGGCCAGTTTTCCCCTCTGCTCAGTTTTTTTTTTTTTTTTGCTGGAGTTAACCTATTTCTCTCTCTCTCTCTCTCTCTCTCTCTCTCTCTCTCATCCCCTGAAGTAGAAAGAGCCATCATCTGCCATTTAATTTTTAAAATTTTTTTTTAATTTAGTTTTTATTATTGTTACTTTTCAATTTGCTATAGGGCACTATCACTCACCAGAGAGAGAGGGAAAGTAAGAAAGCAAGCCACCAGGTCCAAGACCCGAACTGCAGCCGATCATGTGGGAATCCAGCACCTTAACTACCATGCCACCTGTTGGCCCCACCATTTTAAGTTTTTTAAGTCTGTTTTCCTGGTGCCATAGGAAGGAAGGTTCTGGAAAAGTACAGAGAAGGTGGGGTTTCTTTTTTTTTCTTTCTTTTTTTTTTTTGGAGAGATTTTCGCTATAGGGCGCGTGCACTTGCCAGACAGACAGAGAGAGACATAGAGACAGAAAGTGAGAAATCACCCTCCGGGGGGATGGTCACGCCGCAATCCCTTCGCCTCCATTCTCCTCTCAGGATCTTGGGTACACACGCACACGCGCCCTCACATGAGTTCTAAGCCACCGGGTCCGGGACGCAAACTGTGGTCAACTACGTGGGAGTCCAGCCACATAGCCATTATGCGAACTGCTGGTTCCCAAGAAGGTGGGGTTTCAATGAGTGGATTTGCTTGCCACCTTTTCTCGCCTCCTGCCAGCTCCTGTGGCCCATCCAGCCTTTGGCGTCGTTAGTCTCTGGTAGACTCCCCAGAGGGCCAGGCTGCACCCTGTGACTGAGGCGGCTGTCCAGGCTCAGGTGTTTGCAACAGCAGTGAGCACCGACCTTCCTAAGCACGTGTCCTGGGCCTGGCACCGTGCTCTGCAGAGACCCGCCTTCAATCCTCAGCACATCCCTGGAGGGCCGATGTTCCTCTCCCCATTTTACAGCTGGGAAGACGGGCTTCAGGAGGTTCTGTTCACCTCCTTAGACAGCTAAGGAGTGGTGGAGCAGCTTTTGGATCCCCTCTGTGGTCAGCCTTCTGTGTTTAGATAACTTGAAATTCCTTTCACTAAAAATGTCTGTTTCATCAGACCTTACTCTTCTCTGCTCTGCTGGGATTCTGGTGACCTCTGCGAACCATGATTGTTTCCTTTTGATCATTTCCTTCCTACATTTGGAACACACGAGTTTGATCCATGTCTCCTAATGGACAGCACAGTTGACAGAGCTCCTAGCATGCCTGGATCCCTGTCAGATTGAGAAAGAAGGATTTGGCATCAAAGGAATAAGAACTTTCACCATAAGAGACGATGTCTTATTTTTTCAGAATTATTTTTTAATTGTATTTTTTTGGAGAGGTTTTTGCGATAGGGCCCATGCGCTCGCCAGACAGACAGAGAGAGAGAGACAGAGAGACAGAAAGCGAGAAATCATCCCCCAGGGGGGATGGCCACACCACAATTCCTTCTCCATTCTCCTCTCACGATCTTGGGCACACACGCACATGCACCCGGCATGAGTTTAAGCCACCGGGTCCGGGACACGAACCGTGGTCGACTACATGGGAGTCCAGCAACATAGCCATTACACTAACTGCTGGTCCCTGTATTTTTTTATTTTTAATTTGCTATAGGCATGGGTCAGCAGGCGGCATGATGGTTAGGGGTGCCGGATTTTCACATGGCCAATCGCGGTTTGAGTCCCACACTTGGCAGCTTGCTTCCTCACTTTCCCTCTCTCTCTCTCACTCTGTCCCTCTCTGGTCAAATATAAATAAATAAATAAATTTTAAATAAAATAATTATTTAAAAAATTGCTATAGGCATGTACACTCAACAGAAAGAGAGAAAATGAGTCCCTGCCGCATCCGGGACTTGAAATATAGTCAGAGGTGATGGAGTCCCACACCTCGACTACCACACTACCTGCTGGCCCCAAGCCGATGTCTCATTAATCGTGAAGGTGCAGTGAGAAAAACTCCTGTAGAACTGACTGTAAATGGAACTGGGTTTGGGATCCGGCAGAGGAGAATGGGGATCAGATCCTGCTCACTGGAACATGTGTCAGGGCATAAAGTGTTCCTGGTATGTTACTAAGTGTCGTCAGCAGCTGTGGTGTCACGGATGTCGTCCACAGTTCTGAGAAAAAGTACTGCTCCGGCACCGGGTGGCCCTCGTTTTCTGAGGCTCATGGCACGTCTGGCTCTGATGAAAGTCACACAGGCATCCTGAGACGACAGGACACCTCGCTGGGAGTGGCTCGCACAGAGGTTGTCTGCAAGCAGGTGGGTTTTCGTTCCGTTTGTCTTCTCGGACGCTGCCCCAACTGCCGCCAAGAGCTCTCTCGTCCTTGACCGAGCTGCGGCTCTTCCACGGGGCTGCATTTGTCCTCAGAATGCATTGGATCTCTTCCCACGCCAATCGCAACCCCTCTCAGCGTGTCACCGAGGGGCAGAGCAGTGCTGCAGGGGACAACGGCACATTTTTGTCCTATGTGCCTAGTGGCGAAGTGGCCAAAATTCCGGCCGCAAATTCATTTGGTACCCTTGAGTACTTCCATTTTCTGATTCAGGGGTTTTGTAGAACACCAGAGGCCAGCAGATAAAGAGAACAGAGTCTTGGGCCAGTCACTGGCATGGTGGTTAGGGTGGCTGGGTGCCACATGGCTAACTGTGCAGTTCGAGTCCCACACACAATGTCTTAAAGAACACGCCAGGCATGTATGCATGCATGCCCCCAAATCCAGAAGGGTATTTGAGAAGATTGCAGTGTGATGTCCCCCCAAGGAGGTGCTTTCTCTCTCTGTGTCTCTCTCTCTCTTGAGCTAGTACATGCACCTTATAACAAATTTAAAAAAAATAATAGCATCAGATCCTGCTCACTAGGAAAATGTATTGCCTTTAATAAAAATAATAGTCATACACTAAATGACATTATCCAGAACTTGCCCAGGGATGGTGTGAGTGCTTTGCATACATTGTATCAATTGTTCCAACAGCTGCTTCTGTAAGAATTATTATTATCCCTGTAGATAGAGGTACAGTACATCAAAGCCTAAATTTAGGAACTTGCTGCATTTTTCTTTTCATGTGTGTGTTTGTTTGTTTCATAAGAGAGAAAGAGAAGTACCCTTGCAGGGTCTCACCATGCCATGATTCTCCCCCCAGACTCCCAGTCAGCCACGATGACATGTGAAGATGTGCTGGGAGTGTTCAGGTTGACCCAGGATCTGAACCCAGGCCTCCATGTGTCTTCAGTACCACAGTGGCACCCTACCTGTACAGCAGTGGCTAGGCCTCTTGCTCACATTCTCACTGATAAAGTGGTCAGTGACCACTGCATGCTCTGCATTCTTTCATGTCCTTGAAATTCTGATGCAATCAACATTTTTCCCCCACACAGATGTCCAGCTCTGGAGCAGGTGGCCCTATGGGGTTTGTGGGTCTGGGTTTAAGTAAGGAGTTTGTTTCAGTGGAGTGATGATGGCGGTGTCTCTTCTTTGCAGTGTGACGCTCACCTCGGCCATGTGTTTCCTGACGGACCTGGGCCTACTGGGCAGAGGTTCTGCATTAACAGCGTGGCCCTGAAGTTCAAGCCCAGCACACAATGACCTCAGGAGCCCTCTCTCTTGCCACCCGTTGGTGTACCTCCTCCATGTTCATAACGCACATGCCCATCTCACCTTATTCACTATACAACAAGGCTAAGTTTGAGGCTGGCACTGAGTTGCACCTTCTTTTCATTTATTTACCTGGAATCAGCTCTACCCTGACTCCCTCGTGGACTGTGGAATTTCACAAAGTGACCTAGGGTGGTGTTTCCATCCACCTGACATCCTCGGGCTTTGGACTACAGAGCATGACTTTTTGGGGATGCCAGGGGGCCAATGGACTAGTAAGCCACAAACTCCCTACAAAACTACCCTGGACTTTCCACTGTGGGTAAGTCATTCTTGGTCATAGTCAGGTGAGGGATCAACTGAAAAGAGGAAGGAAAGGTGAGACCAGAGGAGTCAATAACCCAGCAATGAACTCTAGAGCTATGAGAATGATCAATGAGAAATGTGATTTTTTTTTCAAAAATTGAAATATCAATATCTTTTTTGGTAAGAGGTTTTTGCTATAGGACGTGTGTGCTTGCGGGAGAGACAGAGAAACAGAAAGCAAGAAATCACCCCCAGGGGGGATGGCCATGCCGCAATCCCTTCTCCTCCATTCTCCTCTTGGAATTTTTGGGCACACATGCACATACGCACGCCCCTAGCATGAGTTTTAAGCCACTGGCTCCCTTGAACTGCTGTCAACTACATGGGACATAACCACATATTGACATAACCACTACACCATCTGCTGGTCCTGAAATATCAATATCTTGAATTTTCTATTCTCAACCTTTCTATCCACAAATAATCTCCAATTGGAGTTTGTTTGATTTCAGTATTATGAATTAACATTAACCCGCATACCTTCTCGCTACAGAACTGAACTTTGAAATGTTCAAATAAAGTATTTACTAAAACTCATGTTTTTTTTAATTTAAGTCTATGAATTTGCTCTTTTATAAAAGTGACTCTAAGTGAAAATGACAAAAAAGAATCAGGTAGCAAGCAGGCACTTGGTTATAACAAGACTAATAGCAACTCAAATATTTTACAAGTACAGATTCTTAAATACTTTGTTACTAGAAGTATTTAAATCATATTCTTTGTGATGTTATAGTTCAAAAAATTATTTTATTTTTCTCTTTAACAACATGTTATAAATTACTTTACATTTCTTTTAGTGGCTTCTCATCATCCTTCACTTGCTACCATCATATGCAAATCATTACTTTTTTTGGCTTCTCCAAGAATGCTAACCTTAGAATCCATCCTTCTTTCCTTTCCGTCTTTCTTTCAGTTGCCACAGAGTGTGTGACCTCACCAGAGAAAGACAAAGAAAGAGAAGGAGAGAGAAAATAAGAGGAAACTCCTCTTTCTCTCCCATGAGACACAGTCACACCACAATTCCTTGTCTATTTCTCCATCTTGCTAGGATGTGGGACACACATGTATGTGCTTGGTGGGTTTTTCAAGCTGCCAGATCCAAGACTCGAACCACAGTGAACTATGTGGGATTCACCTCCCTTAACCACTAGGCCACAGGGCTAGCTCAGCATACATTTTAAAAAATATGTTTTTTTACCTTAGTTACTCCAGCCTTCCTATGGCTGCTACTTGTATGATGTGCCTTTTTAAATCTACTTTATTTCAAATTATCTATGTCTTTATATTTATAGTTCATGTCTTACAGTTGCTTTTTTGTTGTTGTTTTGGTTTTGCTTTAACCATCTTGACAGTCTCTGCCTTTTAACTGAATTGTTTAGTACATTAATACTTACTGTAATCATTGATGTGGCTACATTAGGGCCTACTTTTTTTGTTGTTGTTTATTTTTGTTTTGTTTTTAATTGCCAGAGTGTCTGTGTGCTTGTCAGAGAGAAAGAGAAAGACAGTAACCCCCAATGGGGCATGGTCACACTGAAATCTCCTCTCCTGCATTTCTCTATCATCTTGAGATATTGGGCACACATACATACATGCCTGGGGTGTTTTTCAAGCTCTGGGTTGGGATTTGAACTGTGGTTGGCCATGTGAGATCCAGGCCCCTAACTACTCTGAAATGGGGCTGACCCTACTGTCTTTTTGTTTTTATCTCCCCTATTCATTTTTCCTTCCTACCTGCCTTTCTTTTTGGATTTTTTTAATACTTTTCAGAATTTCCTTTTAATTTCTCACTTGCATTTTAGCTGTCCTACTTTATCCTTTTTATTATTATTTAGTGGTTGCTGAAGAGATGGGGCTATATGTATGTATATATAACGTCTTATTGGGAATGTATAATGATTAATGTAAATACTTCACATAAAACATAGAAATTTTGTGATTCTTTTAGTCTGTGTCTCTTTTGTTTTGTATTTTTACATGTAATCATCTACTTGTGTTATAAATCTTACAGAACCATGTAATGTTTTTAAAAGTTATGTAGTTTATGAAAATAATCAAGAGGTAAAGGGCAAAAATAAAAGAAAAACTCTCTTGCATTTTACCTGCATGTTTACCATTCCTGATACTTTTCACTGTTTTCTGGGACCTGGTATAATTTCTCTTTAGACTGAAGAATTTTCTTTAGCATTTCTTGTCATGCATGTTTGATAATGACTAATTCTATAAATTTTATTTTAAATGGAAGTCTCTATTTTAACATTATTTTTGAATGGTATTTTCACTAGATATAGAAGCCTGCATTGACAGGTTTTTTCTTTCGGTACTTTAAGCATGTTTCTCAACTCTCTTCTGGCTTCTGTCTTGTCCAAAGAAAAGTCAGTTCAGGATCAGCAGATGATATAATGGTTATATCACTGGACTCCCATGTAGTCAACTGGGGTTTAAGTCCTGAACCCGGTGGCTTAAAACTCATGCCAGGCGCTTGTACATGTGTGCCCAAAATTCTGAGAGGAAAATGAAGGAGAAGGGATTGCAGTGTGGCAGTCCTCCTTGGGGCATAATTTCTCACTTTCTGTCTCTTTGTCTCTCTCCAGTGAGCATATGCACCTTAGCAAAAATCTCTCTGAAATAAAAGAAAATAGAACAGTCAGCTCTAAATGGGTTTGCTGCTCCTGTCATTTGCTTCTTACAACCTTCCAGTTTGGCTTACTGTATTTGGCTTTTGTGTAAAAGTGTTGCTGGGCTTACTTATCGAAAATAAGATTTCTGGAGAACCAGCAGTTAGCGTAATGGCTATGTTGACGGACTCCCATGTAGTCGACCGCAGTTCGTGTCCTGGACCCGGTGGCTTAAAATTCACGCTGGGCGCGTGTGCGTGCGTGCCCAAGATCCCGAGAGGAGAATGGAGGAGAAGGGATTGCGGCGTGACCATTCCCCCTGGGGGGTGATTTCTTGCTTTCTGTCTCTATGTCTCTGTCTGTCTGGCGAGCGCACAAACCCTATAGCGAAGGAGGATGGGACATAGCAGAGGGTGGGGGATGGGGAATCAAGGATGGCAAAACAAAAGGCAAGGTATGCAGGACATAAGAATTGGAAAATTATTTGCTGAGAACATGTATGTTGATGTGCTTGATTGAGCCAATGCACAGTGTATTTTGGATGGAAAATTCATTTGTGTGTTGTGATGGTGTATAGTGTAAATAAGTTAAATAAAATAATTCTTAAAAAAAAAAAAAAGGAAGAAAAAAAAGAATAAAGAAAAGTAGATTAGAGGAGGGGAGTGGACCCAGAAATGAGCACCGAGCATTCAGAAAGGGTGTTTCCTAGAGTCGTGGTGGCAAAGCCATTTGTCCAACCACTATTTATGGAGAAGTTGCCAGATGCTGGGCTCTTTTTGAGGTTCTACAGATAGAGCCATGAACAACACACTGCAGAGCCTGCTTTTACTTGGAGTTCACAGTCTAACGGGGGACATAAGTGATAAAAGAAATTAACAAAGTTTTAGGGTTGGCCCTGTGGCCTGGTAATTGGGGCTGCCAGATCCCATTGACCAACCATGTCATTTAAGTCCTGGATCCAGCAGCTTGAGAAACACACTAGGCACATGTGCGTGTGTGCCCAAAGTCTTAAAAGGGAGAGATGGAGGAGAAGGAATTGCGGCGTGACCATGCCTTATGGGGCGTGCTTTCTCCCCTTCTGTCTCTCTAGCTCTCTCTGAGGAGTACGTATGCCCTCTAGCAAATAAATAAATACAATTTTTAACTAAAAAAAAATTTTAGACAATGCAAGGGATAAGTAAGGGGGAAATAATACTACATGAGAACAATACAATGACCTGTTATTTCTAATATGGTTCATCTGAGAAACACTGAGGACACCACTCAATGTCCTTTCACTCTTTGAGGGTGATCCTAATTCCCCATCCTTCCCCCAACAGAACCTCCAGCCATTTACCACAGCAGCTGCTCACTGGAGAGAGGAAACAGTCGCCAAGTCTTTGGGTCCGTTGGATATGAGATCTGCCAGGTATCACAGGGGCCCTGCCAGGCACTGAGGCCCCTGTCTCAGTGACATATACAGAGGCAAACGGGCCTGCCCAAATTCATCTCACAGGTGAGCCCCGAGTCCACGGACCACTCTGTGGTCACTGTGCCGGTCCTTGAGGACATCAGGGTGGACACCTCCCAGCTGAGGGGCCTCTTGTGGTTTCTCTGGGCCTGTGGAATAAGGACAGCTGTGATAAGAGGGTTGAAGCCGAAGCCCCCAAAACTGTGCTTCCCTCAGCCAAGAAAGTAAACCAGAAGCAATACGACATCCCAGGAGGAAAGGCAGAGTGAAACTGGGAAAGTTAATTAGGAAATAAAAATGAAATAGTGAGACCAAGAAGCTGCGTTTCCCGTCCTGAGTCACAGCGTTAGGCCCGGCTGGAAGACCAAATGTAAAACATGACCCAGTAGCACTCACGAACGTGCAGACCGCAGTCCGCAGGCGGGCCGACGGCCCCACAAGGGTTCTTCCTGTAAATCACGGTATGTGAGACCCCACCATCAGTCTGCGGGATTGCAGGATGCTTATCTTTATGAAAATCCCACGGACTGGCTGCCAAGGTGGCTATGGGTTGACTTGAACTTGGCACAGACCTTTAACGGCACGATCCATCCCTTCAGGCACCCGTGCCTTAAACACACTCTGCAGCCGTGACCTGGAGACTCTCAGGTCTCTCGGCCCACAGACATCACTTGAGACACCACTGGGGCTTCAGATCTCCAGGACAAGGCCATTTTCTGAAGAAGTCCTTTTTTTTTTTTTTTTTTTTTTTTTGGAGAGATTTTCACTGTAGGGCGCCTGCGCTCGCCAGACAGACAGAGAGAGACATAGAGACAGAAAG